TAACAACAACACTTTTACATTCCACCATTTATATATAATTTCTTTTTTCTTTTCTCTTTTTACAATCATGTTGATGTTCTGAAAGAATTATTTATTTGGATACTTGTCTCAATAACATCGGCTTGAATGTCATCCATCATCAACACACAATTGTTTTTGAAATATCACACTAATATTATTGTTCATCTAAGTACTTCCTCAACCGCCCATGATGTTCACATCAACTATCAACATGTTCATTTCTGGTAAGAACTTCAATGGAACTTGTAAACTTTTATAATCGAATAAAATCGATAAGTTGCTGAATGAAGATCACACTAAACAATAAGGAGCTACTGCAATGGATCCACAGAAATTGTTTTAATTCCTTCCAATGTCAAAAACATTTCAATAGTAGCACTTGTTCCTAACTCACAATGCTCACAAGGCCTACGTCATGAAATACTAGCCACAAAACTTGAACAAAGAAATTCAAGTCCTAAGAAGAGTTGGGAAGGTAACAGCACAAAAGGGAAACAAGAAGGTTACATGAAGATTCGACAAACATCGCGTGCTTTCCATGCTGCTTCAGAGCTTTATTGGGTTCTCGCCTCCGTTGTTGCTCCCACACAGCAATATATTTTTTGAAAAATAGCGAGTTCAAAAACTGATTTCTACACAGCCTATGTTGTGTGTGTGTATGTGTGTGTTTATGCTCTCTTTCCCATTCCTTCATGGAGCATTGAAAGCTGCAATACCTCCCCTCAAGCTCATAAAAATAACTAACACAAGGTGCAACAGTCTCCACGCTACCAACACAAGGGCCAGTCTTAATGCTTCCATGAAGGTTAGGTGGCATTCATGCGACGATGCTCGGCATTAATGTGCACCGTTTACTCACAAGTCATCAAGCCTCTTTCGATTTAGGGTTTCCGGGACCAGTTTTCACACCCACTGCGTTGGAAGAAGCGATGCTTTGCTTCATCCAACAGGAGTTTCTGTTTGTTTGATTGTTTGGTTGTGTATTTATTATTATGATTATTGTTGTTGTTGTTGTTGTTATCTTACGCCCGGCATGAGAATCCGTCCTCCCACCTAAACATCCATGAAGGCGATGATGCAGGCAGGGCACCATCGATGCAATGGATCAGAAAGTCAAGAGCCGCACAGGCCTGGACCTTTCTTCCGCCAGCCTTGTTTCTCGCACCCGTTTGCACATGTCTGTCTTAATCAGTCTCAATCTCCTATTGCGGCTTCAGTTTTTTCTACCCTTCTTTGTGGTTTCTGTTTGTTTTCTGGGTTTTCAGCTGTCTTGGGGTAGAATTCTCGAGAGATCTTACCCTACAGTGTCCATAAGCTTGCTACGTAGCACATGAGCTTTGTGGGGTAGAATCTCGCGGCAAATTCACACTGGCAGGTGTTCAGAGCGATGGCCATGTGGTGAGATTCCAGCGCCGACAAGAGAAAAAAACATACCCGGTCCAATTTCACAATGCCGAGACCATAAAAAGATTTCGTGCTGTTAAGGGTATATACCCATGGATTTGCAGCCCTATCTGAGCAGTGGGTAGGGCTCTCATGTCACGTCTCTACGAGGATGAATCAAAGTTTTTCCATCAGTCTGTGCCCAACAATTAACTTGACACGCGGAAGCCAGATGAGAGAAAGCACTGGAAGCGCTGGCCCCCATTGTTTGTGAGCGTGTCTCATTGACCACGAAGTACTTACCGCGGTACATATCCACAGCAGTTTCTGCACGAATCTACTTCGGTGGTTTCAGGGTGTGGGTCCTTGTAAAGTAGAGTCTCGTCAGTGAAAGTGAAAAATGATGCAGGTTATGCTGCAGACAATTTTGATGTTATTGGTCTGCTTGGTCTGTTGGTGCCTGCAGCGGAGCAAGCAAGTCTGACGAAAGGGGATTGGAAGCTGCTGAGGACTCTTGGTGCCCCGGGGCACATTGAACGTCTCCTGTGTGCGAGTCTCCTTTATATCCCTGTCCTGGCACAACTATCTAAACATCGCACCCGGGTTTGCAGCTCAATACCACAGTTCACCTGCCGTGCCACCATCGCTTCCGCTCGCACAATCGAGACACAGAGAAGCTAGCACTTGGAATCACTGGTGAAGTCTATGTTGGCGGGGGATCGGCGTGCTGATCGTGGTATTGTTTGCTTTTTTTGAGGGCTTTGCTAGTGACGAGTTCTGTGTGTGTTGAAGAAGCATTTTGGAGGTGTGCACTCATTTGATAAAAGGACCTGCTGCGAGTGGCGATGGCGGCCTTTACTTGGCGATTTGCGAAGGCTGTTATAGTGGTTGCTTTTTTATGGCAGTGGGAATGGCAGGTTTGTGGAGCTGTGAGACTGCTGGCCTCGGGCAGCTCAGTGAAGTTACAGAAAGCTCAGCTGCTTGATGCTTTCGCTGACAACAGCACCACGGATTCAGTGCTGAGGTATAGTTTCGTAATGCGCTGAAGTAAAGCTCGGTCACTTGAATTTATTGCATGTAGTTGGGCTTTCTAAACTTCCACAGAAAGCATAACATGTAATGCAACCTTGTTGTGATGCCAATATGTGTCGGAGCGACCTGAAACACTTTCGGCGGTTTTGTACCTTGACTGTACATTAACGGAGTATATTGCCATGGTGGCAACTCTGAATATATCTCCACAGTGCAAGAAATGTAGCCGCGAAATATTTGCTGTCATAGCATGTGCACAGGGTGTTGCTGTCTTGAGCACGACTCTGACTTGAGATGCTGTCTTGTTTCAATGCAGCCCTAATTCCAACCGTAGAGCTCTTAGCGGTTGTGGAAACGGAAACCCAGTCGACGATTGCTGGAGATGCAATCCAAACTGGTCTAAGAATCGGCAGCAGCTAGCAGATTGCGCCCTTGGCTTCGGCAGGAATGCAGTCGGTGGTAAGAACGGAGGAATTTACGTCGTTACGGATGACAGTGATGATGATGTTGTTAACCCAAAGGAAGGGACACTTCGCTACGGTGTCATTCAGGTCGAGCCTCTGTGGATTATTTTCAGCCGCAACATGAATATAAAACTCAAGCAAGAGCTCATCATGAACAGCTACAAGACCCTCGACGGACGTGGCAACAATGTCCACATTGCTGGAGGAGCGTGCCTCACCCTGCAATACATTAACAACGTTATAATTCACGGCATTCACATCCACGACTGTCAGGTCACGGGACCTGCCGACGTCAGGAGTTCTCCGTCGCACTATGGTAGAAGAGGTAAATCTGATGGGGATGCTGTTAACATCTTCGGCTCTCGCGACATCTGGGTGGATCACTGTTACTTCTCCAACAGCGCTGATGGCCTTGTTGATGTCATTCAAGGATCCACCGACGTTACCATCTCCAACAACTACTTTGAGAATCACGACAAGGTGTGATTTATATCTCCGAGATTCGAACCTCTTCAATATTGTTTTTTTCTTTCTTTCTTACTTTCTTTCGTCTTTCTTGGCGACGGAACTGGAGTGAACGAAATCTATGGTCTAAGAACTCTAGAGTAGTTTCATTCACTTGACGTGCCGAAGAGTGTTGAGCAAGATTTTAACAGTCGCAACGCACCATTCATCTGCACAGGTGATGTTACTTGGCGCTCACCCGAATGACTCAATTGACAAGGGCATGAGAGTCACCGTCGCCTTCAACCACTTCGGAGCAAACCTTATTGAGCGCATGCCAAGGTACATGCAATGTATTTGGTTCTTTTCAGTTTTCGGTCACATTTCTTAATTACAAAGCTCTTTTTGACATTGCATGATTCGCGTTGGATTCTGAATCGATAACTGTCTGGTGCTGCAGATGCCGACAGGGTACATTTCACGTAGTCAACAATAACTACCAAGGATGGGGAATGTATGCGATTGGAGGAAGTGAGAATCCAATCATAAATAGTGAGGGCAACCGTTTCTACGCTCCCGATGCAAGGTTTAAGAAACAGGTGAACATCGAGCTCGCTTATTGGTTGAATTTCATTCCGTGATGTGCATTGATGTGTATTGCAATGAGCCTGTGCTTTCAAACTTGGGAGTGATCCTCATCTTTTCTCCCAACTCAACGACCCTCTCTGGAAATAATGGGAATCACCTTCCTTACCAGGTCACGAAGCAGATCGACGACGGACATAAGGAGAACGAAAACAGTTGGAACTGGAGATCCTCCGGTGACATGTTCCTCAACGGTGCCATCTTCGGCGAACCAGGAGCGCAGTCTGCAAGTACTCAGTTCTTTGCCAAGGCCACCAGTTTCAGCGCTCGCCCTGCCGTCATGGTTCAATCCATGACCAATGACGCAGGTCCCCTCGCACTGTGATAGTGCACAATACTTCGTGACCACTGGCTGTCTCCAATACCCAACTGAACGTTCACTCTCCAGAGGATTACAAAATTCTCAGACTGCTAATAAGATTGTGGAACGAATCCGCGGTTTCGTAGTTAGCACTTGGATTTTCATATAGTAGTGAAGCATCTCTTGTACTCATGGTCGAGAGCTGGCCAAGCATGGTCGGCCTAGCGTGTGAGCACAAGGCGGTGTAGCTGATGAGGGTGTCTGTCTCACGACGTGTAGACTATAAACACTTTGTGTTTAGACGCGTGCCCTTGCCAAGACCCACACACAATTAACTGGGGTTTTGTGTGCGGCAGCAACGCAAGCCAGCAGCCAAAGTCTTCTTCTTCTTCTTCTTCTTCCACACCCCGTCCCATTGCTTCTCCCCATTGTCCCATTATTTAAGCCTAAATGAAGTTTGCAAAAAACAAATCACAATTGTTCAAGTAACGGTTGTCAAACTTCGAACTTCACTTGTCCAATTGGGTGAAGAGCATTTGCAATGAGCAAATGTAACTGCAATTGGGTGTTTCCACGACAACTCACCTGGATTAGCTGTGGCCCACTCTGAAACCCAGTGTTTGAATCAACTAATCACCAAAAGAGCCATTTCTCACTGCAGTTGCGGAGATCATGGCACTAAGTACAGCAATGGTTGGAATAACTCTAAACGTTGATCATTTGAGATATGAATGCAAATATTCACTGTCGTGACAATAACTTAAATGTTGATTAGTTGGTTAACTAGAATTTCAACTGTGAAATTCTTGATGTTTTTTCATGCTGTGTACGTGAACATGGTATTAAATATACTGTAAAAAATACTGTTAAATTTAGTGCACATGGCAGAACGAATATGAAAACATGTATGGAATAGAATTGTGTAAAAATAGTGTAATAAAAAGGAGCTTGCTACAAGCAATATCCAACACACCTTTGATAGATATGGCTCAGGGTCCTTTAATTTGAGAATTGATTTATAATGTGTGTGTTGCAATGAATAATGACAGGATTATTTTTTTATTTCTTTTTATCATTGAAAGAGTCATAGATCTGTCTTTAGAAATAATGAAATAAGATTTTGGTTGAAGAATATATCAATCAAATTCTGATTACAGCTTATTTTTAACCATAAAAATCTTCTAGTCAAATGTTTCAATTTTGATAGAATTAAGTTCATTGAGTCCATGTTATTGGATGACATTTAATCTATCTTTACAAATAAAATATTTCTATATTGAAAATAAACATGTGTTACTTGTATTATCTAATCTATAAGTATTTAAATATAAATTATGATCTTTAATTTAAAATTTTATTACTACCTACATAAAATAAATTAATTGAGGTTCAATATATTTAATTTTAAGATATCAAAAATATTAACAATACTTTTACAATACATGAAATTTTTATTAAAATTAAATTTTATCTAATAATTATATCAATCATCTTCTTAATCTTGCATAATCAATAATATATGAGATGGAAGGGTTGCAAACAAAAGATTAAATATTAATAAGATTATATAGCCTATTTTTATCAACCAACAAGGCATTAAATCCCAAATAGTATATAAAAGCCTATTTTTTTCAATTATAAGGCATTGACTAGCTAGCATACTAAATACTCATTTAATATCTATTTCATTTTTGCACAAATGCTCAATTGAATTTAGATCAGGTGATTGAAAAGGCCAAGTAAATACATCAAAATTTTGTATTGGCAACCACTGCTTGATTGATTTTGTATAATGTTTAAGATCATTATCATGCTAAAATATGATACAATTTTTTTTTCAACAATATCATTTAATTGTCTTTACAAACTCATCTTAAAGAATGCTAAGATAAAAATCTTATTTCATCTTTCTTTCTATCTTGCAAATATAATCTATGATATAGAAAGTTATATAATCCTACAAAAAATGGTACCACCTCTATATTTTACTATTTGACTTATACAACAAGCTTATAATTGAGATTTTCTATCCAAGCACAATCATTAAACTAAAATTGACTAATATTAGTCACATCACTAAAAATCACCTTACACCAATCATAATCAATTCAATCTTCATGAAGTCGAGCATATTCCAACCTACAATGCACATTCTTTATTGTGAGTAGTAGCTTCTTTTACTTTTTTTATGACCCAAGATCTGATTCATGAAGTACATGCCTTATTATATTGGTGCTTACCACCATATTCAAGTGCTTACTTAAAACATTTGTCATATCTATAGTATTATCTAGTCCATCAACTATAATGGCTCTTACATATGCTTGTCTTTAAGTAAGGTGATGCCTCTTAAGCATGCTCTTCTTCAATGCTCTATATGAAGAACATATTCTCTATAAATCCTAAAGTATGTAGATTGAGAGATACCCAAATTTTTTGATACTTCACATGTATTAAGTCTATGCTGTAAGAAGACTATAACATTCAATCTCTTTTCTTTTGATAATACTCTCATGAGCTAAAAATATCTTTTCAATTATAAGAAAAACTATCCTAAAAGACCACACTACTAACAAAAAAATAAAATGAAGAATTATAAGTAGTATTGTAAACTCATTCTTGTAATTTAAGTGACTAATAAAAAAAATTCCAAAACCAAGTCAATAGACCTAAGTTCATTTAAAATATGGTTTTTTTTCTTATCTCTATAGTTATTAATCTAAAATTTAGAAGTAAAATACTTAGTTTAGTTTCACAATTCACCTAATTTGTAATTTGGCAAAAAGATCAATAGTCTTTTAAATATGGCTTTTCAAAATTTTTTATTTTGTTGATTGATTCAATATTGAGAGTGAATATAGGTTACTAGGATTACAATAATGAATATGCAAGTTTTCTAAGTTTAATTTCTTGTGTTCATAGCTTAAATTTTAATTTTTTAAGCTTTTATTCTTTAAAATAAAACCACAATTAATAAACCATCTTCATCTAAGATATTTCTTCTAAAAATAATTACTTATTATTATTTTTTATTATTTACATTCTTGAAAGAAGAAATAATGGACAACTTGTGGCATTCAAAGAATTGGCAAGTATTTAGTTTTTATTTTTATTTTTATTATATTCATTATATTAACTTTGTTTTAATCTTAAAAATATGTATTCCAAAATAAAATTTAGTTTTAGCAAAATTTTGTACATAATGGAAAATGTTACATTGATAGATAAATTACTTTGAAGTTACTTTAATGATTTTGCGTGGCCATCATATTTTTGAAATTCAAATTCTACAATTTATAAATAGTCTCATTGTTTATTTGTTCTTTTTATTTCACATTTTCTTTCTTATTTTTTTTAGCTCATATTTTTTGTATTACTTCTTGTTCTATCACAACAACTTAAATAATGTTAACTTATTTACTTAATGTAGACTTAAATTGAGCAAATTGATCTAAACTTCAAATAAGAGTCATGCAATAATATGTTGTATGTGTTGAAGGTAAGAACTCAAAGAATGTAAATAAACAAGTGAAATTCATATTAAAGAGAGATAAAATTTATATATATGTATTTAAATAGAAAATAAAATGACTATTTTCAAAGGCTAAAAAATTAGAGACTCTTTAAATTAGACTAGAAGTAATTAAAGAATTGATAAGAGTGATAAAGGCTTTACTTTTGTCTCAATATATATAAACCATCTAACTAAAAATTACATAATAATGTTCTATAGGACCTTTGATACATGTCTAACTTATAATATGTATACATATATATAAGGTAAGTTTCCTATAAATATACTATATGGCCAATTTATACCATAAGTGGCCAATATGTGCAATACATGGCCAACTCATTGACTAAGTTTTCAATCTATCAATCATCTACAAATATGTATAATGTGAAATCGACATCTATGAAGCTTTACTATAAGATATTATATCATTTATCTATTTTTACTTACTTTATCTAATTCTTTTTATTTAAATAACTACTAGTATTGATTTTGTTCTTGACATTAGTCTTCTTTTTTAGAAATAAATTCCATAAAGAGCAGTGCTCACATGTTAAAAATTCAAAATATAACAATAGCCAATACATCTCTAATATAAAAAACATGTTTCTTATGTATGTGCCTTGTGGCCAACTTGTACTATAAGTAGCCTTTATTTGCAACAAATAATTAACTTATTGACCAAGTTTTTAACCTATCTATCACCTATAAATATTTATAATATCAAATCTATATTAATATAGCTTATCCATAAGATGTTATATTATTTATTTATTTTTATTTACTTCTATTTAGCACCAAAGATATGAATTTTAAAAGTCTAAAAGATCAATGCATTCTTATGTCACTCAAAAAGACTAAAAAATCACTCAAAGATGATATAATATTAAATTAGAATGGATATTGCCAAATACAAGAAGACTAAAAATCCTTGAAATAAGACTAATAACTAAAAAGGTGTTGATAAGAGTGAAGAAGACTTCTGTCTTACCTCTATATATACTATCCAACTAGAAGTTATATGGCAATATCATATAAGTTTTCTAAAAAACATTTAATTTGTAAGACATGTATCTTAGCTTACAAGGTAAGTTTTTTTATATCTGATCCATATTATTAGCTTATATCACAAGCTATCTATATGTGCAATACATGACTATCTTATTGGCCAAGTTTCTAATCTACTAATTGACTATGAATATGTGTAAATTCAAATGTATCTACAAAGCTTCTAAGAAGCTTTGCCACAAGATAATATCAAATCTACTTACATTTACCTTCTATTTAGTACTTCTTATCTAGATAAATATGTATGTCCATGACATTATCCCTCCTAAGAATGAGTTTCATAAGGAGTGATCATTTTATATTAAAGAAGTCTAAGATGTAGCAAATTATATTTGCTACATATTTTAATCTTTATTTCATTTGAAGGTAGTTGATAGCTCCTCTCAACTATCAATAATATTCTATTTCAAGACAGAAAGACCACCCCATTATTTGATTGTTGTTAAGGCCTTCATAACTTCCTTCAAACAAAATATTTATAAAACCATTAAGAATCATTCTTATCTCTAATAAAATTATCAAACATCAAGAATTTCTTTTAAGATCATAATATCAAACATATTATATTGTGCCATCTATTCAAAGAAAAACTTATCATTCTTGAAGGTCTTCATTTCAATTATATTGTCTTGAAGGCTGTGACAATCATAATATCTTGTTTGATAAGTCAGCAAATGATAGCTCTTGAGTTGAATTTGCTAATTGATGATTCTCTATCTTCTTAGTAATACATGTATATATATATATATATATATACATATATATATATATATATACATATAAAGATAGAATTTTTTTTAAAATTTTTTTGAATTACATTTTTTTTATAATAAAGATTTTTTATTTTTCATCTTAGTTTTGATTAATATTATTGATGAAAAGTATCAACCTTCTTTGCTGTATTTATAAGATTCTTAGCTTGCTCATATGTATATTTACTAATATAATATTCGTATCAATGAACAAGATATTTCAACCTATTTTGGCATGACCTTGAGTCTAAGGCTCCTTCTACTTCAAACTCTTGATTTTTATCAGCTTTTATAATAGGTGGCATTTATCTTCTTCTTGAGATATTAAAGAAGAAACATGTATAATATGGAATGGATCTTCATAGACTTTAATAGA